TCCACAGCGCGGAATCCTCACAGGCTATCCACTTCGCGTGTTGCACGCCCCACATCCTGACATGAAGAAGCTGGAAGAGCGTGGTGGGTAGTGTTGGTGTAATGTCTTATCTATTAGTATTCGCAATTTATGCTATCTGGGTTGTGTCTCGTAGTTGGCCATACGTATCAATGTACGCATGAATTATGCGAGGACTGATTATCAGCACCGTGGGTATCGGAATGCAATCACTTCCAAGGAATGAGACGACGAGGCACAAGATGCAGTGGCAGGCCGCCCGCGCACCACATGACAGGGCACCAGATGCAGCGGCAGGCCGCACGCGCACCAGATGAGGCACCAGATGCAGTGGCAGGCATCCCGAGTACCAAATGACAAGGCACCAGATACAGTGGCAGGCCGCCCGCGCACCAGATGACAAGGCACCAGTTGCAGTGGCAGGCATCCTGAGTACCAAACGACAGGGCACCAGATACAATAGCTGGCGGCCCGCGCACCAGATGGCAAGGCACCAGACACAGTGGCAGGCGGCCCGCGCACCAGATGACAAGGCACCAGATACAGTGGCAGGCCGCCCAGGCGCCAGTTGCAAGAACAGCCCAAGTGCAATGTCCGAGGACCTGTGCTCACAATGTTTTTTTGACGGATTCTTTAAGGTCAAGGTTGGCAATATCACTGCGCCCGCGCCGGGTCAGCTAGATGGGAGAGTAAGGACCTCTCAGGTCCGTTGGACCAACAAGCTAGGGCGAATACATCCATAGCGCGGATCAGTTAAGTGACGGGGACACCGTTCATTTTCATGCTTGGCGAGGGTTCTGATCCCAACATCATCGTGGGCAACATTCACTGCAACCACATGTAATTAAAACGCCATCACAGCTCTGCGGCACGTTCCTGCACCCCTTATCTAACAGAGTATCCCCCATTCACGACGATCGGACATTATGAGGGTCAGGTGGGATGCCTCTCTCATTGTATGCACATTTACAGTCATCGCACGTGCCGCCGGACTGCAGCTCTCGACATGGCATCGCATGAGAACTTTCCCTCACGGGCCAGAAGTCACGGCAAAACTGAGTTCTCCTGCTTTGGCAAATCTAGAGACGAGCACTACAAGACCTACAGATGGTCAGGAAAAGTCTTCAACCCTCCTGTTTGCAGTCATGAGTTGGTTATGTTGAAAACGGCCATCCTTCAGTTTGCAAGAAGGCCTTTGTTGGTTCAGAGGGTTATCATCGAGATGTGTAGATCGTAGGACATTGAGACACGCGAGACATCCATGGATCGAAAGGCAAGACGTAAGCCATAAACTTCCACTACCATCATTCCACTACCATTTTATCGGAAAAGGCAAAGTGGCAGGCGCAATACAGGTGATATTGGCACGTTTTCGCCATTTTTACCTTAAAGAGTCGGCTAGGCTTCGATTAGAAGCAGCAGACTTATGCCATCATTTACGTCAGTCTTTTGCAAACAGATCTACCATTTCAAAATACGTCATTGATTATCATCAACAGGCAGCTTGGTAAAAATGTCTGGAATAAACAGAAGGTCAGACCAGAATTCCGGCAGGCACGAAATATTTCCTTTGGTTCGTGGTGTATAAAATTTTTCCCGTTTTCAGTACGCAGTGGTGGAACATCATAACCTGTTGTGTCGTGACCGATGCTATGCATCACAATGGCGGCCCTGCACGTGCCACTTCCGCACCTTGTAACAAAGACATCATCCCAAAGCGTCACACCAACGCATCTCGTCCGGACGCGACAGCTTTGCTGCTCTCTGTGCTAGTTGACCCGGGCCGTGACCCGCGGGCTAGTGGGGAGTCGTTGGTCAGGCCTCGCTGCGAGTGGGCACCGATATAACGCTCCGTGCGAGCCGTTGAGTTCCTGTTTCGAGAACTGCCCATCAGAAGAAGAGAAGACTGAACACCTGGCGACGAGGATGCGATCACATATTGCTCAACTCCTTTAGACCACGGCTTTGAGTCCTCACCAGTCCGATGTGGGTCCACGGCAGGCAACTGTCACGCCACATCACACCCCTGTTCACGCCATCAAACGAGCCGTGAGCCTCCACAAAAGTGGTCTCCCGAATCTGCTCACCGGTGGGCCGGGTCACCTTGACCTCGAGCCGACATCCACCGACGCCTCAGGGGCAGCTCACCGGCGCCGTTCCACTCTTCACTCGCGCCCCGGACGCCCAGTTCACCTGCACCCCGGCCGGCCGGTCTCGGGCGGGACGGGTCAGCTGCTGCTCCCAGGCGGATACCCCGCCGAACAGAACAGCTGGCCGCCGACCGAAAAAGTTGCTCCTGACGGGTTGAATCCCGACAGAGGCCACCACCGGCTCCACCGGCTCCACCGGCACGCCGGCAGACACCACCGGCTCCACCGGCTCCACCGGCACGCCGGCAGACGACTGATTCCGCGGGCCTTGTCGGATCTCCAGACCTCGCGCCGACGACTCCACGTCACCACACTGCAAGAAGGCTGCACTCGGCAACTGCAGCTGCTTCTTGCAGTCACCAACGGCCAGACTGTCTCCGTCCGCCGAGCTCGCCACCCACCGTCCGCCGTCCGCTGCTCCATGGCCACTGCCACATCTCCCGGGACTCTTGACCAAGTTCGGTGGCACATGTCCACGCCGGTCTGAGAGCTCCTCGCCAGGTGTACCGTCTTTATTTCTTCTGATAGGCAGCTCTCGCAGCAGGAACGCAACAGCTGGTCTCCAGCAGTGTCTCGGACCGAGGCGGATCATGCCCCAGACAGACATCCGACAGGTCGCCAGCCTCGTCCGGGCCGTGGCAGACCATACCCCAGACAGGTATCCAGCAGTGTCTCGGACCGAGGCGGATCATACCCCAGACACCAGCTTCCCGGCTGCACGCCCACCAGAACAGCCCGTCGGCTTATCTGTATGCGTTGTTTGAATGAGTAAGTCTGCGGGTGGAGTTGTTTGAAGTCGAAACCAAGCGGATAATCCGAAAATAGAGATCTAGGCGGTGCATAAATGTGCGCCGTCTATGATTCGGATGTACCGGCTTGCCTGTGAGTCGGTATACTTTCTCGCCCACGTCAATTTAGCTGACGTCACCTGACCTTCAGCGCGACCGCTGCCACCAGCCGCAGGCCATACCTGACAAGGACAAAGACCGGGACAAATATGAGTCGGAATTAGCCAAACTCCACGCACCGAACTTGTGGAGGCCAGCTGTGGGCTATCTTGCAGACGGTCGAACCACACGACCAAATCTTCGGAATGTTGACATCCCGGCGATAGACACGTTAGCACCCTAAAGATGTTGACATCCCGGCAATTGATACGCTTGCACAACGCTTTGGAATGTAAATTATGTCAAATGCAAAGAGCGGGAACAAAAAATGCAAATGTACCATCCAGCGCCTAGCACAAAACAACGAATGCACGCACCTTTTAGCATCGCTTACCTGAAAACATTTATGCTTCACAAGCCACAGACGTGGAAGCAAGATGTGGGGCTGGCCGACGTTAGAACCAGGGTCGCCACATGTTCTAGAGACTTGTTTACAAATTGCACTGATGACAGCTCGCAGTGCACATTGAATCCTGAATTTATGCGCAGCAGAGCGAAAGCTGTGTGGTGTGTGGTAATATGTTATTTCTAACAACCACCTCGCGGAGACTTAAACGCGTAAAGATTAAGGCCATTGGGCTCTGGGATTTGGACCTTATTTCCCTAAATATTTTATGAATCATTTCAAAATTCATCAATCCATGTGCGACCGGTTTAAAAAGTGATTTTTTACAGATAATTTCTTCAGGGGAGGGGATGTCATCCAATAACGACGACGTCACGTCACGGTTATGCCAACTGCGGCAATCGCCGGCTGATACGGTGAGGTGTCCTGTTAACATCTGGCTCGTAGGGATGTTCAATTCCCAGATAATGCTCAGAGATGTAGGAAATGTATTCTTAATGGGGATTTACGTCACATCGGATGGCTGGGGCATTTATAGACGAGTCGGTGCAGTTTCGTACTCCCCAGCTGGCTATTTCCAGACGAGCATCATCCTTTTGGCGAGGCGAGCGATCACGGCCAGTCGTTAAATGTTCCGAGATGGCATCATCAGCGATTTATTGCGGTCCTTTACGTTTAATAGCTGAGTGGGTTACGGATAGGTACCTGGACCGCGCCAGTAGGTGGGATAGAATCTTGGTTGCTTTTCCCCACCGTGAGCAACGCGAGCCGCAAGGTGGGAATGGACAAAATTATTTATGCGTCAGACGGTTCTCCCTACGTGTCTCATTCATCCGTTCAAAGAAACGACCATGTTGCCCTGAAGAATTGTAGGCAGTTCACATGAGTGCTACTAAAAACATGTATTCTAAGCAGCACGCAGACCGCAGAGCTCGCCCGCTCCTTACCACGCAAACGCCCCTGAGAAACGAGGGCTTCACAGGTCTACAAGCCCTTTGAACGAAGCGCTTGCTGCGGACTACGTGCGACGACAGCTGCGCGCTGCGTACTATGTACACCTGCTGTAAGATCAAATTACGGCTCGGCGCTCAAGAATGTACGCGAGAAATGCTGAGAAAGCATCCAGGCTTGGTTAGGCTGTTGAGCACAATACGGTTGAAACTGCTGGTTGCAGGAAAGTACGTGTGGCACGTAAAGCACTCGTGCTGAGCCTACAATGGTGTCTTGTGCCAACAATCCGATTGAAATACATGCAAACCCTACACAATAAAGGACAATAACCGGAATTACACGTCATGTCTAACCTCCTCACGCGATGCCACGTCATACCCGAGCCTGACTCCATGACGCTTTCACACAGGGACACGGCATCGCCGGCATCGCATGCATCACACAACCGGGCAGCACAATAGCTTAACACCGCACACCACATCCGCAACACCCACCCCAACCGCTTTTCAAGTCCAGACTTTCGAGCTGGACGGAGGCGGGCGCCGGCCACCGGCGTGCCAGCTCGCTGACCTCGCCGGGCTGTTCCAGCGCCGGCATCCTCTCGCTGGACTACCTGCCGCCGGCCAAGCCGACCGTGGACCCGGCCGACGCGGCCCGCGTGCGCCGCGAGGACGAGCCGCTCCGGAAGCGCCTCAGGCGGTACGAGCAGCTCATCATCGACCAGAAACTGCCGCCGGATGAGGTGAGGCGAGCGGGGACAGGGTGGCGTCGCGGTGGGGCGGGATCGCAGGCATTGAGGAAGTGGGGATGGCGAGGGAACGCCGGCGCCACGCCCCGACTGGCTGAGAGGTAGCACCGGGTGGGAGGGGAGACAAGGCTCTGGGTTTGGAAGGGCTTCTGTAAAATCCGGACGAACAGGCTGGGAAACCCAAGTTGATGCATGTCTCCTAAGCAGGGCGATAACTTATCCGTCGTGCCTGTCGCGGCCAGCTGGTGCGTGCGGAGCCTCTGAACCGGACGATGACCCAGACAGTGTGCAGGTCACTGATGGCTGATCCCATCACGTGCTGCTTCCAGGTTCAGGATCATCAGCGATTTATTTGTTTTTCCTAAATTCCGTGCGAGTTAACCTCTGAGCACGGGAACATGCATGGCTGGTTTAAAGAGAGCAGGGTGACTTGAGAGCTGCGAAAGGGCACAGCCCGAGATTATCAGTTTGTCTCGTTTTAAAGGCGCGCTGGGTCATGCTGCACAAAGTCTATCTCAGCAAGCAACGTCATCATTGCTCTCATAAGGGCACACTTTTAATATAAAAGGCATCTGTCATTCTTTGGGCTGACCAGACAAATGGGTTTTAGCAACCTCATTTGAAACTCCTTCTGAAATCGCAAGGTATGCAAGGGCCCAAGAGGAAAACAAAACCCGAGCATCGCACAGTCACCCAATTCTCACAGCACACTGTCTCCGTTACTGCAGGTAAGCGACCTGGTGTGTGAGGCGGAGAAGCAGGCGCTGCGCGTGGAGTCGGTGGTGCTGAAGCTGGCGCTGAAAGACGCGAACCTGGCACTGCCCAACTCGCCCGAGGAGCTGCAGCTGCTGTTCGCCGAGCCGCAGGGGCGCGTGGCGCGGGCGCTCGGCCTCGTGGCGCAGCTGTCTGCCATCATGCTGGCCGGCCTGCAGAAGTTGGGGGCGCTCTTCAAGGTGCCGCCCGTCGACCCGGTGGAATCCAACGCGGCATTCTCGCTGCCGCCGCCGAGCGACGAGGTGCTGGAGTTCGGCTCGCTGCTGCTGCCCAACTGCACGCCGCTGCCGGTGCCGGAGTGCGGAGACGCCACACTCCGCTACCGCACGCACGACGGCTCGTGCAACAACCTGCTGCGGCCGCGCGCCGGCTCCGCTAACTCGCAGTACTCGCGCTACTTCCCGTCCGAGTACGCGGACGGCGTGAGCGAGCCGCGCGCCGCCGGCGCCGCCGGCCGACCGCTGCCATCGGCGCGCTTCGTCAGCGCCGCGATCGGCAACAGCAACACGGCCGACGGCGAGGACGGCTTCCGCACCATCGCTCTCACGCTCTTCGGCCAGTTCGTCGACCATGACGTGACGTCGACGCCCGAGTTCGCGCTGGAGGGCGAGGAAGACGAGACGGACGAGTCGGCGGTCCCAGGCATCGGCTTCAACTGCTGCCACCGCAACGGCTCATTCCCGTCCAAGTCGCTGCATCCAATGGCGTGCAACCCGATCCGCGTGCCCGAAGACGACCCGTACTTCTCGCTGCACGGCGTGAACTGTATCAGCCAGGTGCGCTCGCTGCCCGCGCCGTCCGAGGACTGTCTGGCGAGACCGCTCAACCAGCAGAACCAGATCACGCACTACCTCGACGGCAGCAACATCTACGGCAGCTCGGAAGCCGAGTCGACCAAGCTGCGCGCCGGCACCGGCGGCCTCATCAGCACCACCAACCCGGGCCGCCTGCTGCCACGAGACGAGAAGCGCTGCGCGAGGCGCGCCGCCGACTGCTTCGTCTCCGGCGACCACCGCGCCGGCGAGAACGTCGGGCTCGCGTTCGTCCACCTGGTGTGGACGCGCGAGCATAACCGCGTGGCGACGTTCCTGGCTGCGCGCCACCCGGACTGGGACGACGAACGGCTGTACCAAGAGGCGCGCCGCATCGTGGTCGGCGAGTACCAGCACGTGGTGTACAACGAGTTCCTGCCAGCGATCCTCGGGTACGGGTACGTGCGCGACCGCGGCCTGAAGGCGGGCGACCGGGCGCGTGTGGCCGCCTACTCGGCCGACACCATGCCCACCATCACGACCGAGTTCTCCTCAGCCGCCTTCCGCTTCGGCCACTCGATGGTGCACGACGTGTTTCGCCTGCAGAGCAGGTCGGGCCGCATGTGGCGCCTCCCCCTCGAGGAAACCTTCTTCAACAGCACGCACCTGCAGCTGCGCGGGATCGTGGGCGACCTGGCGCGCAGCCTGACCTCGCAGCTGCCGGGCCGCGTGGACACGACCTTCAGTCCGGCTCTGACACAGCACCTGTTCGCGCCGACCGGCAAGCCCGGGCTCGACCTCATCGCGCTCAACATCCAGCGCGGCCGCGAGCACGGCCTGGCCAGCTACGTCACGGCGCTGGAGAACTGCGTGGAGCACGACGTGGCCGGCTGGGACGACTTCCAGCCGTACATGACGGCAGAGGCCGTGGAGCAGCTGCAGGCCGTGTACGACGACTTCCGCGACGTGGACCTCTTCGTGGGCGGCGTGAGCGAGCGGAGGTTGAGCGGCTCCGCCGTCGGCACCACCTTCCAGTGCATCATCGGCGAGCAGTTCTTCGACCTGCGCTACAGCGACAGGTGGGTGTGCAGGGCGCCGGCGCGCCGTTAGTTTTCGGCGTCCGGGAGACCTTGACGGGCGGGTGTGAGTCAGATAGGTGGCAGTGCTTAGCCGCGGATGGTACAGATCTGACCGACCGGTCTCCTTCGCCGGCTAATGCGGAGTCCGCCCGTTTCCCGCCGGGGTGGCTCGCGGCTTTACTCAGAATCCTAATCCAGGTCCTGGGCTAATTTTTGCCTTGCCCCTGAACACAGTGCAAACATCGTGCAAACTGCCTTCGATCGGAGTGTACTATGTTCAGCAGCCAGTCGGCAACAGCGCGCGCTCAGACTCCATCAAGGCGAGCCGAGCCAGGCGTACACCGCCGTCGGATTACCACATTTATGACCATCCGCCGACTACCGCCGGTACACGCCGACCGGAGGCGTCAGGCCACACCGAGCTCCGGCGATTTACGAGTCAGGATGTGTCCTCCTGGTACGGACGTACTGACACGAGGCAATGGGATGAACCGGCTGACTGTCTGCGCTGTTGCGAAAAGCCCCATGCCAGGTGTGGTGCTAAGTGGTCGATAACATATACAAAGAGCATCCATGATGCTCTGAGCTCTAATCCGTGAATCCGTGACGCGCTGTCTTACTTAGCCGTCATTCCAGCTCCTGTCACCTTTCCTATCACACTGACCTCCCAGCCTCTAGTTTTGCCGCACGTCCCCCTGTATATTGGACCTCACTGCCCTGTGCGGTCAGGCAGGGCCGCGGTGTAAAGCGCATTAGTCTGGGATGAAGCAAACACCGGCCGGTGCATTCCAAGGCCGGCTTTCACTCCCACACGTCTCCTGGACGCGGCGCGGAGCGCGGACGTCACCGCGTCGCCGCCTCGGCGACAGAAGGACAGCTGCGGTGCGGCGCCGGGTGGCTCCGGCGGCGTGAGACCGCACCGCAGCATCGTCACGAGAGAGATACAATCGTCTGATGCCACCCCGCACTGATCCGCCGCGGTGCGCGTTTTTCAGGCGGTATCCGCCTGATTAGGGCAGCTTTGGTTTGGTTTCATCGCTGATTGTTGGTATTTGTTTAGCGGGCTCGCCAGCCAACCGGAGGAGCATCGCGTAACGGCCGCTCTCTTCTGCTGCAGATTCTTCTACGACATCCGGGACCAGCCGAACAGCTTCACTGTGCGACAGCTGGAGCAACTGCAGCGTGCCTCGTTCGCCCGGATCCTGTGCGACAACGTGGACGGCCTGAACGAGATGCAGCAGCTGGCCTTCTTTCAGCCGGACTTCTTCCTGAACAAGAAGCAGAACTGCAGCGATCTTGCCATCCCCACCATCGACCTCAAGCCGTTCTAGTGACGTCCCATCCTGCGGCGGTGTTCGAGCGGCCGCACAGGCCGGAGACCGTCTGTAAATCTGGGGATGTTCTCGAACGAGCAGTTAGATCTGCAATACACTCCCTGACATGGTGGCGTGACGGCACTGAAGAGGTGTCCGAAGGTCAGCGACGGACCTTCTGATCACCAGCTGTCTTCACGAGGAGACTATTCAGTTGACCGTCATGGATTATCTGGTCTTCCCGCATGGCAGCGCTGATCGTCCGGGAGTCCGGAGGTGCTGGTTGCGTCGAAGCGACAGCAGCAGGGTGAACATCAGCGACGAGCACCGCACTACATCCCCGAACTGTTTCAGTGGTAGCACTGCGCCGGTCCGAACCTCTGGCACGGGCGCTCTGTGGTCCTGAGGCTGCCTTATGAACATCTGTGAGAGAGCGCCCCGCTGTCGCGTCTCTGCCCGGAACAGGGCCGGACCGGTGACGCAAGTGACGCGGATATGTCCCAACTATGGCACTGGCGGTGACCGGTGCAGTCGGTGTACTGTGCCATGCACCTTAGCGTGCGAGGTTCCACTCGACACGCCCGGTTAGATCGACCACCCTGGACCAGGCGATGAACTGAGGAGCGGCGCTCCCGGCCAGGGGGCGGTGTGCGGACAGGTCAGCGCCAATCACAGGCGGACAGACGCGTCACGTGACTCGTGACGTGAGCGAGGTCGTCAAATCCCGGCGCTGGAAGTGACTATTCACCGTGAAATGTTACCAACTGTGTATCATGGAAACCAATGCGCTTCCGGCACTGATAAACGAATGTCTCTAACTTTCGGCTGCGCTAACTGGAGCATTAACCGTTCACTAGGAAGACAATTAACGGTCGTTAAATACTGCTGTCTTGATCCCAGCTGTGGCCTGCTCGATACAATGCAGCTGTCAATCTCCCAGCCAGTTATCCTTAAGTCGAAGTCAGCCGCCCATAAAAAGACATCGGGTTTGATTAGATTTTCCGTGTACATCGCATGCAATAGAAAGGACTGGTTGTTAGGTATGTCAGAAATAAAGCACCTCTGCTGCAGTTATCGAGCCTATCCTAGAAGATAGGATTACAAATAAGAACTTTTTGCGGCATGAGGCTTTGTCATTACCTCCACCAAGCAAACGTTGAAGGTTTTGACCATTAGACGAATATCATTCCCATTTCCACAACACACCGTTGCGCTGCCCGCTGACGTACATGCAGGCGGGCGCCGTATACTGGTCCATTGCTGATTGTTACTGTCACAGTGTAGCCGAGGCGGCTGTACCCACGCTTTGAGAAGCGAGGCTACTGAAGCTCGCTGATAGTGAACCCCTATCCAGATTCATAACCTAGGTCTATTAATTCATCGACCATTTCCCACCGCATCAGGCTAGCATAATTGGTTTGGTGAGTACCTTCTGTCAAAGCTGATTGGTCAGCCCGGAGCGCCCGACCATGAGCAGTAAGCTGTACGACAGCGCGCTAGCGGTTTAAGCGACGCCGGAACACTGGACTAAAGCGGACCAGTGTCTGACCCTTTGATGGCGCGGCCACGCGGCCGGAAGCGACGGTCGCACGCCGACCGGGACCACTCGTCATTTCGAGTCCTGCAGTCCAACCGATGTTGCATTTGAACCGTCTGCACATGCTTGAGAACATGATGCTATAGGTGTACTGTGGACGCATGACTGCCATTATGACGCACGCAACGACTAATTAGTTGTTTGCGGTCGCGCACATTTCAAACGTTCCCGGCTTCGACCTGGCTGGTTCCCGCCCAGCTCCATTGCTATCCATCGAATCCGTGGATCACAGTCAAGTGACGAGAAATTGCAAAGCGACCATTTACACGTCCATATCAGGCAGCATGGGAAATTAACGGCGACCTCACACGGTTATCATCCGCCAACCGCCGGAGACAAAAGAGCAAGCAACTTCGTGACTACGATCTGAAAGCTCCGAGCGACAGGGGGAGGAAAGCGGCCAAGGAAACGCGACGGCGCTTGCCGGGGATAAGCAGCTGGTTTTACTAGCCCAACTGCACAAACACCACCGCCTTCCCACAAGCCGTCAGTCACTTCGTCCCGTGAAACTTTGATCCATTCAGACCTCAAAATTCGCCACCGGAATCGAGTCCTAAGCCCCCCGAATGGATTGGAATGCGGTAACCCACACACAAATACTGCGCGTGAACAAGCCAACCAAAAGTTCAGCGTGACGACCCCTTCAAACGTCCGTCTACGGCCGGGGCATACGGGGCCGGATGGCGAGACGCGCCGCGTGCGGGATGGTCCGGCCATGACCCGGCAGCACAGCATTCCCCGCCGGCTAGTCCGCCGCCAGAGGCCGCCGCCGCCCTCACACGGCGGCGGGGCCAGACGTCCCGCAGCGCTGGCTGGTCACGGTGCCGACACCGTGGCGGAGGACCCCACGCTAGGGGACGCCGGAGACAGCACGACGGCACGACGGACACGGGCACGAGGTCACGAACGCATCGACAGTCAAGAGGAGAGCTGGCCGTGAGCCAAAAGCGCTCAAGAAGCGAGGGCGTCCGGGAGGCCGGATCCCAGCCGGATTCCGTTAGCTCCGACCGCCTGCACCGGAGCCGGGGAGCCGCACCCGGCGCCCCGCGCGAGACGGGCGGCTTACCGGCCGGCGTGGAGGGCCGAGGACACCGCCGGGGAAGGGCTTAGCCACACGTCCGAGAACAGCCGCTCTAGCGTCGAGTCGCGCGGAGTCGGCGACGGTCGCGTGACACACGCGGGACGGGCCGTGACACGCGCACCGACCCGGCCGGGCTGGCAGGCGTGGGGAGCTGGGGCCGCGCCGGTCTGCGTGTCCGGTTCCAACAAACTGCTGCTGACGGAGCGTACCCGAACTCCCGTCTTCCGTCCCGTCTCCGCGACCCTCAGACGTCCGATAACAAGACACACGAATGTATTAGGGCGGCGGCGCTGCTCGCGGTGCACGACTGCGCCGAGGCACGACGCTGCAGGAGCGCCCCATGCGAGCGACGCACGGACAGTTCAGGTCAGATTCTTGGCTCCTTCGCACAGGTTACAAGGCGCCGCAGATAATGGACGGAGATAACGGACAATGGACGGAGCTTTCCGGACGAGATTCGTCGCCCCTCCGCAAGTCAGCAGGTCAATGGCTGCTTTGCGCCAGGGTACCCCCACAGCCGGAGTGTCTTGAAAGGCCACACGAAACGGCGGATATCCCCACCCACGCCTGCGTCAGAGACAAACGCAGGGGAGCGTAGTCTCCCCGCGCGCTTCCAAACGCAGGCGTCACACACCCACGCGGTTAGCTTTCACCGCAGGTGGCGTAACGCACGAGTCGGGCTTTAGACATCTCCATAAAAGAATGATAAATGCAATGTGTAAAAATGGAATACCGTTCACTAAACTAGCAGCTAGTCAAATCCACGCTACACCAGATATAAATGAAAACACTTGTATGAAGAACACTTGGTCGAACAGCACGGCCACGGGTCACGTAGGCACAAAAAATGACGCGGCCAGGTCATCGGACACATGAAAAGCGGTGCCAAATTTAGGATCATTCAGTGAACCCACTGACTAACCGTGCGCGCACTTGAGATCCCGCAGAATGAATTCTCAAGAATGCATACACAACAGCTGCGGCCCATCTTATCACGTACCGATACAAAACATGTATAAAATTCGAAAACACCGGTTATGTTCTGTGCCGAGCGCCGAGCACTGTCTTGGCAGCACTTCAACTACACGGCAAAAGACTGGCGTCATTGGCCCGATTGGATAGGTCGATCACGTGCTGCCGACAACTAATTCCAGTTTGGTTCCCAGCTGCCTCCGCACGGCCGCTTAACTGAAGCCGCAACATGTGAAAAGGACTGACATCGCCACCAGCCGCAGGCAGCCGCTGGGTCGGCTACATACACAGCTCCACAAGGACGGATAAGGGGGCCGGGGAGCGGTGGCGACCGCTCCGCTCCGGCCTTCTGACCGTCGACACGTCACCGGTGACGTCGCCAGTGACGTCACGCGACCGCCGCCCCGCCGGACACCGCAGCCCTGCCGCCACGCCGGCGCCCAGCCTCTGGTCATCCGCTCACAGGGCGCCGAGGCACCCTGTGACGGCAACAGCGGGCGCAACGTCACAGCCGTCAAATGACGTCACTGGCGCACGCCGACTCGATGCGTCGGACGGTGCCGATTCCGCTGTGCTTTCTCGCCGTCCGTTGTCTGAACGGTCGACAGGTTGGGCCGGACGCAGCGATTGGTCGGCAGCGCGCCGACCGGACGACCGCGCGGCGTGATTGGCTGTCGCTGCACACGGCGCGATGCGCTCGCCGGCCCGAGGAGGCCCGTGCGGTCGCGGCGCCGCCCCCGCTCAGATGGACTGGCCGTTGTAGCTGTGCGGCGTGATGGGTCGCGACCCCGGCTGGATGCTCACCGACGGCGTGTGCGAGTACTGCGTGGCGTTCAGTGACGTCATCGTGCCCATCTGGGAACGCGGCGCGCGAGAACGTCAGACGGCGCCGGCGACGACAGCGGACGGGGACAGTGTCAGCAGCTGCACAAAACGTGGGAGGTGGTGGTGCAAGCACGCTCACGCGCGCACACACACACACACACACACACAAACACACATACAATGCACGCAAATGCACGCAGCCTACTCGGGTAGTACCGAATACAACGGCTAAGGTCCCATCAAACCAGGCAGCTTAATCGATTGAGCGGGATACAAATGAGGCTTGAAACAAGACATCCGTGATGAAGCGAAACACGCACGCATCACAAAACGGGGCGGACTTAACAGCTGTACAGCGAACGTGTTTTTGGTGGAAACAGGCGGCGTGCACATAGCTGGTCAAAAGGTGGTGCGAACGCTTACGAACACCGACAGACGAAAAGACGGCCTCGGAGTTCCACAAACGAGCGGTAAAAATCCCACCTTGAGATTAGATTGGACTTGACTTATGCTAATAGCAATGAGAACAATGATATGGTCGTGCCATTCAAAATGTTCAGGCATCGTGTAAATATATGTAAAACATATCCTGCATTTTACCAGTGCAAGGACGATGCGGAGGCCAGTGCACATCGTTCCGCAAGGGAGTGGAGAACGGTGCTCAGACAAGCGACTTCACAAAACTCAAGCCACAGGGGGAATGGTGAGTCCGTACCAAGAACCTTAAACTCGGACCCAGAACCCCGGAGTGCGTCATTACTTCAAATGTCAAGATCAGCCCAGCCAACTGGCTGGGCAGTGAGCCGGTGATCACGGCCGCCGTCCAAGCAGAAGCCCGGGGCTTCGGCGCCGATCGTCGCTGCTTCCCGACACTACGACGAGCGCACAGCAGACGCCACAACACGGCAGCTCGCACACAGCATGCGAAGCTACAGCGCGGGCACATCGAGAGAACGGGCCGTGCGAGGCGGGCAGCGGCCCCGCCGCCCGGTCACCGACCGACCCCCGGGTGCCGGGCGCCGGCTCAGAGTGAGGCGTCCAGCTCCGGTATGCTGGCCAGGCTGGCTGAGGAGACGGTGGCGGCCGGCGGCTGGCGCCGGGCGGCTCAGGTCAGGTCAGGTCAGGTCGGGTCACGCGGCGCGGCATCGGAGCGCGCGCTGTCACCACGGCGGGGGAGCGGGGCGGGCACACGGCCGGCGCCTCGCGCGGGGTCACGCTGGGGAGCCAGCTGGGATCGGGCGCGAGCAGAGCCGGAGCGACTGACGGCTCGGGCGTACGAACAAGCGGCGCAGAAGCAGACTCTCGACGAGGCACAACAGATGGCTGAAGACGGCGGCACTTAGAGCGCCAAAAAGTCCGGCGAACGGGCACGCGTCAACAGACCAGAGCATCGCCACCCCCTGCGAATGCCGACCACTCCCGGCACGCCCAGATCACCACCCCAACAGCAGCTGCCGTCGGCGCTCGCCTACGCGGTGCCATCGGCAGACTTACGGGGCGCGGCGCAGCCAGAGAGGCGGCCCGGCTGGCCAGCTGCAGCACGGGAGAGAGGGCAGACACACGACCGTCAGCCGAGAGGGAGGGCAGACGCACGGCCATCAGCCACGGCACGGGAGAGAGGGCAGACACACGGCCATCAGCCACGGCACGGGAGAGAGGGCAGACACACGGCCATCAGCCACGGCACGGGAGAGGGTAGACACACGGCGGTCAGCAGCGGGACAGGAGAGAGGGCAGACACACGGCCGCCAGCCACGGCACGGGGGATAGGGCAGACAGACGGCCATCAGCAGCGGCACGGGAGAGAGGGTAGACACACGGCCGTCGGCCACGGCCCGGGAGAGAGGGTAGACACACGGCCGTCAGCAGCGGGACAGGATAGAGGGCAGACACACGGCCGTCAGCCACAGCACAACGCTCACGCCCGCCAGCCTAACATAGAAGCCCGCCCACTCCAGGTCGTGGTCTGAAGCCACTTCGTTAAATCTGGTATGTTCCAAAGCGAGCGGTGCATTAACTATGACCGCGGCGCACCAAGAATATGCATGAAGGACATTAAGCAAACTTCCGTAGCTATTCCGTATTTCTATAAAACCCGTGCAATACGTATCCTTGTTACAATGCATGCATAGGAAGTGCACTACCACGAACACGTAAGACGCGAATTCTTCGGCAAATATATAACTGACAATGAAAACGAGTCGTATTCCTGCCTTATGCGACACCCAGGCCGATTTAATGATCTAGGCGAGCGATAGGCATCGACCGCAAGCCGCCACAGCCTGTTGGCTATCACTACAGGTACCGCGGTCGGCGAACGTCGCTCAATCAACGTCCAGTCACCACATGGACGGACACCGCCGCCACACGTTTAGAAACGAAAATGCGGCAACCAGTTTGCTGGTTTCTGGCTGCAAGAGACCAAGCTCACCAACATGAATCCATTGCATCAGGCTGCGAGAGCCTGTGCTCACAAAGGAGACCCACACACCGATGCATGGCGGGTGAGCGATTGAACACGACGGCGCAAAACAAAGACCTGCAGGCAAACCAGGTCCCGATCCACGGCTGAGGACGGGGAGCCCTCAGTGCTACCAGGTCTGAAAACCGACGGTGTGGGGGTACTTGGTGTAAGTGTAACAGCTTGACTAGAGCTGTGGAATTCACCCAGCAATCTCACCCACCTTCAGATGGGCGATGTCCTCCAGCTTCGAGACCTCGGTCAGCTCGTTGAAGAAGGACCAGACCACCAGCCAGCCGTAGACGTTCAGCAGGATCATGGACGACCAGATGAAGCACATGAGGCCGTGGTAGACGAAGTACATGTCGTTGACGAGCGAGGCGAACACGATGGCGAAGGCGCGCCAGCACGTGTGGAAGAACATGATGAGCAGCCACGGCCGGATCTGCTTCTCATTCTCCTGGCGAGTGGCACGGGCCGAGCTCGTGAGCACAGGCCGTGTGCGTGGCTGGCAATCTTCAGTAGTCAGCGCAACGATCATTAAGGGGGGGGGGGGGGGAGGGGCAATGTCACCTTTACTAGATGTTCAAAAATATTTTTTTGGTACAGAGTGCACTAAACAAGTCAGTGATGACTCACAAATGAATCCTGAAAGTCGACACTCACGAAACATATAATACCACATTCAACCAGTAAAACCAATGCATGTCTCATCTGACATTGCCTGCATTTTTCTCCACTTATTGTTAAATACAGTGATTTGATTATAAATTTTTCAGTTACTAGCCCAATTCCAACACCCAAAAATAAGGTGAGACGCATAACAATAAAAAACTTCCGCGGACACAAAGAACAGCAGATCCTCACAAAGAGCAATGACACTGCCCTAATATCAATGCCCTCCCAAATGAACCTAGAAATAGCAATAACTGTCTAATTGCGGATCTGTCCACGCACGATCGGCACCCTACCAGCAAAACGAGCCCGGATGTCGAGCCCGGGCCACGCCGTTGGCACGTGACGTACCTTCCTGAGCGCCTGCAGCAACACGATGCTGATGATCAACAGGGCGAGTGCAAACAGCAGGCTGAAGATGGCAAAGGCCATCAGGCAGTTTCGCACTGCGGGAGGAGCGGCTCGTTAGCGGCTGGCGGGCTGGCGGCCCGGGGCGGCACAGACGAAGACGGAGGGCCGCGAGTGGTCACGGCAAAGACGGAGACGGGGGTCGCGAGGGGTCACGGCAAAGACGGAGACGGGGGCCACGAGGGGTTACGGCACAGACGGAGACGGGGGGCCGCGAGGGAGTCACGGCACAGACGAAGACGGAGGGCCGCGAGGGGGTCACGGCAGAAACGGAGACGGGGGGGGGGGGGGGCGCCAGGGGGTTACGGCACAGACGTACACGGGGGCCGCGAGGGGGTCATAGCAAAGACGGAGACGGAGGCCGCGAGGGGGTCACGGCACAGATGGAGACGGGGGCCACGAGGGGTTACGGCACAGACGGAGACGGGAGCCGCGAGGGGGTTACGGCACAGACAGAGACGGGGGCCGCGAGGGAGTCATAGCAAAGACGGAGACAGGGGGCCGCGAGGAGGTCACGGTGCAAACGGAGACGGAGGCCGCGAGGGGTTACGGCACAAACGGAGACGGGAGCCGCGAGGAGGTCACGGCACAGACGGAGACGAGGGACGCGAGAAGTCACGGCACAGACGGGGACGGGGGCCGCGAGAGGTCACGACACAGACGGAGACGGGGGCCGTGAGAGGGTCACGACACAGACGGAGACGGGGGCCGCGAGGAGGTCACGGCACAGACGGAGACGGGGGCCGTGAGAGGGTCACAACACAGACGGAGACGGGGGCCGTGAGAGGGTCACGGCACAGACAGAGACGGGGGCTGTGAGAGGGTCACGGCACAGACGGAGACGGGGGCCGCGAGGAGGTCACGGCACAGACGGAGACGGGGGCCGCGAGAGGTTACGGCATAGACGGAGAAGGGGGCCGCGAGCGGGGCAAGGCAAGGTATCAAACGAGGTGTCGCACCCGGAAAGGCGGCATGATCCAGACACTACTGCACGGTCCGGCAGCTTAATAATGACCTCAGAGGGAACACATAATAACCACCGTTTCCACTAAATCAAAATACATCCAGAACAATGACTGATCAGAACAAAACATTTCGTCGAGGAGTTCAGTTCCGTGGTATCTATTCGGCGCACACGGCACAGAAATGCATATCTAAACCCAACCCCACGAGCACAACACTTCCCGAGCACGATGACCAACCATCGCCGGGGCTTCCAGCCAGATGACGTCACACACGGACGACGACGTCACTGCTCAGTCACCACTCACCGTGCGGATTGCCGGCGTACACGAACTCGAAAGAAATGACGTAGTAGCCGAAGTGCTCCTTGCCGGGCTCTGCCTCCACCAGCACATACACGTCAAACACGGCCGTCATCATGGTGAACAGCGCCTGCAGCTGGGGGCACACGCGCGGTCGCCGGTCAGCCTCGGGTCAGGCGTGGTCGGCGGCGGGCGTGTTCGCTGGCGCGCCTTCGCCCGCGATAGCCGTGGGCGCGATTAAAGCTCTTATGTTTAGCTGTAGCGCTTACCCAGCGCATATCTTTGAAAACAGGGATGTTTTAAAGGCTGTCCAGTAAAGCTTCAATGGATGAGTGAAGTACGGCTGGAAATGGTCGTCAAAAGCTACACGTACTACGGGTTCAGGTACCAAACACTGTCAGAATTACGTCCCAATTGCTGCAACGCACGGGTGACGGAAGCCAAAGTCACGCGTCATGCAGAGGCCTTACGATGGAATAGATGGCGGTGATGTTGGACGCCTTGGGTATGGACATGAAGAGCGCCTTCTTGAGCACGGGCGGCTTCCAAGGCTCGATCTCTCCGGTCAGTGGCACGGTGGAGCGAGCGGCCGATGACCGCACCGAGTGCACAGAGCCCACCGAGTACAGCGACGCGGCGCCGCGCGACACCTCCGACACGCGCGACGCGTGCGAGGCGCGCGACGGCGGACGCTGGGCCGAATGGGAGGCCATCTGTCGGCGACGTTCGTCACTCGTGATGAGCTGCAGCGCCACTGGGCAAGCAGGTGGGCGGCCAGTGGAGGGGGTCAAATGTGGCATAGATTTGGCATCAGGCCATGATACACATACAAACTGCATCAAGCTATGATACCAAATGAGTATGTGTTTTTTTGGTCCATTCCATATCTTCCTTGTTCCAGTAACAGGCCCTATAAGCTAGTATCTAGCAAGCACCATACACAGCAAAATCTTTACTAAAAACTCACAGAATAAAAAGGTGTTATGCTACCCAGCTCCAAAGTTATTACTTCCAAAAACTTAGCCTGATTATCCATGTTGCATGACAGCCATACCAACAATTTGAAGTGAGTGTATTTGAGGGGGTGGGGGTGGGGGTGGAGGGATGAGCAAGAAGTGCAAATTTTGAAGTCTTTCCATCCCTTGCTATCAGGGATAAGTTAAAATTATCAAAAAGTGAGAAGCCATAGCTAAACCTCCCATTCCTATGCCACCAAGTAAGGCTAAAATGCATACTGATCTGGTATTATATATATATATATATATATATATATATATATATATATATATATATATATATATATATATATATATACATATATGCATATATATGTCTAACATGTACATCATCATGTTTAAGGACTGATGAAAATGGTTGGAAAAGAATGCATGTGAATATGAAAGGACAGTTATTTTTAACAATTACAGCATTTGCTCCTATTCACAGTGCTGACAGTGCTGCTGCCAAGGCTGATATGCATGGTGTATGGAGGCAAACCAATTGCTGAATATTGATGTAATACTTCTCTCATAATATTTCAAATCCTGGATAACACTTAAACACATCCTTTGTGTTGACTCATTTTAATGCAAGTACATACATAAAAAGTCAAAACACAATCAGGTAGCAGGCTATAGCCTCATGATGCTTGTATGAAGATAGCCATGATGGTCTGTATGGTTAGTTGCATGGCTTGGTTTGCATCCATAGACTGCACACAAGGTGTACACATGATATGCAGGGTATTTCAATATCGCCACTTGGGTGCCAGTGATGTCAACATTTTGCATGTTTTTATACCCTGGTTTGGGGTTCACTGCCAGTTGTCCTTCCTTTGCTCAAAATCAGCCATTAGCATCAAACAAGGTGGCAATCAACCTGGCATCTAAGCACCTCAGGCTTGACAAATAGGCAAGGCAGGTCAGATGTCTGGGTTCAGGGCCAAAAGACAACAGATTAGCACCAAAAAATAGTGTGGGGAGGCTGACAGAGAGCCAGGATTCTGATAACATGAATCCCTACTTACATCCCATACACCTTACAGGATGCACTTTGGAATATTGTATGCATCTATAATGGGTGCCAAGAGTGACGTATGATGTGCAGAGGTGGAGACCTACGAAAAAGTAATAACAGATAGCTCCAGCATCATATTTCCTGGCAAACCCTTGTCAATTAAACAGCTGCACGTCTACTGCACGGGGAATGGGTATAAAGTGAGCAACACGACCTAGGCAGAACATTCATTTATGATGACGATGATGATGATTGGGAACATTCATTTAAGTTACATAATGTTTTCAGTGTTGCAATATTTCAAGACAAAGTACTTTATCTTTTCATCAATAAAGTTGTATTTGATTTATTGTTTTATAAGCTATGACTTCTAGGTAGATGGCCATTCTCATTTACATAACCTACTGAATCCACAAATCATGTGTGTGCAAAGACATGCTCATCCAAACTGAGATCAGCACAGAATTGGTCCCACAGAATGCTTTCTGAATTTATACAGGAGCAGCACAAAATAGGTCACATGGAATGTGTGATGCTAATTTTGATAGGATGCACCCATTGCTGAGTGAATTTTAAGTATCACTTCTGCAAATTAACACCCACCACACACCTAGACACTTACCGTCCTGTTACTATCCTGGCGAAAAACTAATTTCAAGGAACAACGCTGACCAGGTCTACAAGACGTTATATTTCCCTAACGTCCAGTTTTCCCCGCGCAGGCACCACATGCCTTACCTTCCGGTCAACCGTAAGCTACGATGAATCACGATTCAACTTAATGAAATTGTGCAGTACACTAATCCAAGACTAACCGAAGAATATGCCTGATATCAACGCCAAATTGTCACGCTGGCCGCCCAACGGGCGTCCACTTCGTCGGAGAATAACAAACGGGCACCACCCATCAATACAGCGCAATTTGTGCCGCGGTTTCTGTTACTCATTGGATTCAGTTTACACCCTCAAGAGCTATCAAAGAGACCCTGGCGGATAAAATGGTTGTCTAATATTATTTTTATTTTATTTGCATTTAACAGAAGTTTTCAGGACACTGCAGTAATTATATGAAATAATTGATTCAATTATTGTTTACTCATTCGAGATAAACTGAAAAGATAGAATCTTTAACATTCGGCTTTATTTTATATTGGATGGCTTTTCCACGGATTTTGATCTTCTTTATGCAACCTGCCTTTTCCGCGATATGTCGCGCCAGAGTTACCGGGGTTGCGTGTCGGTCCGTCTCCGTCGCGGGCCGGTAAAATGAAAGGCGGTTTGAAATTCGAAATGGGTAGGAGCATGTTCTGAGTCGACTTAAAGTTACACCCCAGGGCCTTCCACTTCAGACTTGTCAAACAGTTTTTCTTCGAATTTACCCCCAAATAACTCAGCATTCTAATGTTTCTTTTTTGTATGCGGGAACCCATCTTACTTCGAGCTGCCCAGAAAACTCGGCGTGCTGCACGTACACTTATATCAAGCTTGTCATTTTCTCCAGGTCATGGTGAATCGCTGTCCCTTTAGGCATGTATTTAGATCGTGATGCACAAGTGCAGTAAGTGTTACAAACTTAATATCCAAAGGTAATGACATACAAGACGTTGCTAGCGCACACAAGCATGTTAAAAAAAATCGGCGCATAGCCGACCGCTGCCCTCTTGCTAAGGCGCGAAGTAAAACTGTCATCGTGTGATCTCGAACTTGTGAACGCGAAGTTATTTAGCCAGGCCCTCGCGCCCGAAAAGGCGAAACGCTCTGGCGCTCGCAAACACAAGTTAGTTAACGCCAACAGAGTAGGACCCTTCAAGCACCATCGGAAGAGCTCACGGCCAATGTGCAGGGCCCAAAGCGGTCAAAAGCCCCTCGACCAATTTATATTTAGATCCCCGTCAATGGTGCGGGCCCTTCGATAACATTTGAAACACAAAGCTGTCCAACCGTCCAACCGTCCAAATCTTACACCGTCCAAAACCACGCATGCAAACAGTTCGGAATAACTTTTTGACGCGCCTGGGTGGCCGGTTGAATACCTTTTGCTCCGGTGGGGGTCAATTTGACTCCCCTGGGATCTTAGAAACTAAGAGAGCTAGATACACCAAATTCACGGCGTGTGTTGGTCCGTAAGTGAACTTACTTAGGCCTAAGTTTGAGATTCCTAAGTCATGACCTTCGTGTCAAATAAGGTCAAATAAGATTAAATTCTAGATTGGTCTCCAGCGTGCCCCGCGAACCTAGATATCTGTTCTAAATGAAGGTTAACGTGAACATTGAAGATCAGTGACCTTTTTTGACCTTTTGGAGGTGATGGTGACCAACTCATACAAGACTATTCGGAGCTTTGCCTTTGAATAAGGCAAATATTACGCTAGGACGTGTGTTCCTAGAACCAAAATGTCGACCTGGGTCATTTTAGGTCAGTGACCTATTCTGACGTTTTAGAGGTGCATGGGAGATGTATTATGCGGTTCTTGTTATCAATCAAAACGAAATAAACCGTAGGAACTACCCCATACAGCAAGCCCTAGAGTAATAAAACAGGTCAGTTTTGATCTTGCTCTGACCTTCATACCTGGCCCTAGGTCAACGGAGTTGCTCATTCAATTGCTGTATTTCCTTGTAAGGATTTCCAGGGATGTATGTCTCCGTCCAACACGCCGTTGTTGAATCAGAATGAACGATTCCTTGTAAATTGACTGCTGAATCCATGGTCTGACTTTGACCTGCCGTAAGTCAGCGACCTTACAAGGTACATTAAAATTTTTGATACCAAACAATTTACTATTTAATTGTCTATAGCTATTCAACACTTGGCGCGGCTATGCCCCGACGTTCAGAAACCATTCCGGAAAAACCTTCGAGGGGGTTAATTTGACCCCCACCCTAGTGCGTGTTAAAGATAGAAACAAAACCTGAGCGGTCGGAGGTGCCGCGGCAGAACAACAAATTGGTTGCCGTCGACAAGCAAAGGGTCCTCAGAGCGAGAGAGAAGAACCTAAGACCAACGTGGTGAGCCCCTGAACGCTCGGGAGTGCCCCGGCAGGATAACATATAGGACCCCGACCAGAGCGCATGGTGCTCTAAGCAAAGGGGAATTCCCCAGGACCAGAGTACGTGAATTAATGCCCCTGTGAGGTCGAAAGTGCCCGGGGAGGTTAGCGGAAAGGGCTACGACAGAAGCAGAGGGTCCTACGCAATTAATATCAAAGGAGCAGAGGCTGGATCAACGCAGAGGGCCCGTGAGCATCAAGTGCCTTGGTGTGTCACCTTATATGGGCCGCAGCAACAGCGCAAGGCCCTCCAACGAGCGGAGGAACCTGAGACCAGCATGAGGGGCCCCTTAGGAGCCGAGTGTACCCCGACATATGGGGCCCCGGAAAAAGCATATAGAGCCTTTCGGCCGAATGGGAAGAATCCGTGGAGGGCCCCTGATCTATCAAGAGTGCCCAGCATATTGGCTGATAGTGGCCAAGCAAGCAGCAGCGCAAGGCTCTTGGAGAAAATGCAAGAAGGTCAAAGACAGCGTGGAAGGCTCCTTAGCGATGAGATTCGCCCGAAAATTGGATACATATGGCACCGCCAACAGCGTAAGGCCTCTAGGCAGTGTAAGAGCCTCAAACCTCGTGGCCCGGTACCCCTCGATCCACCACCGGCCCGGATAGCTTAACAGATGGGCCCCGACAACAGCATAGGGTCTCCATTCATAAACAAGTATCCAACAACCAGTGTGGAGGTACACCGAAAGATCGAGTGTGCACGATCCGGTTATTAAATAGCCCGACAGGAGCGTAGGGCACTACATTAAAATACCAAGACACCATGTGTAGGGCAACCCAAAAATCCAGTGTGCACGAGCAGGTTAACAGACAGGACCCCGACAAGAGCATAGGCCTTCCATTCAAATAAAAAGTGCCCAAGACCCAATGTGGTGGATCCCCAAACGACCACGCATGCCCAACCATGTTAACAGATGGGGCCCCGACAAGAACGCAAGGCCCTTTGAGGAGATCGAAAGTACCCAATGTGGAGGCCCCGAACGATCGAGTATGCCCGACCAAGTTAATAAATGGGCTCCGACCTAAGCAGCAATGATAAAATCCATTAAAAAGTGCACAAGTCCTCATGTGGAGGGCCCATGAACGATTGAGTCTGCCCAAGCAGGTTAACAAATGGGGGGGGGGGGGGGGGACGGGTGACAAGACGTGCGTGGCTGCAAGCAAGCGATAGGAAAATGGAAGGGCCCTGGACCAATATAGAGGGCCCATGAGCATATCGCGAGTGTGCCGGTAGGCTAGCACGCGCCGAGGTGGCTGGTTGGATACGCTTCGCCTGGGTGGGGGTGGGGGGGGGGTCAATTTGACCTCCCTGAGATCTCAGGAACAAAGAGAGCCAGCAACAAAAAATGCACAGGGTGTGTTGATATGCACGTGAATTTACTTAGCCTAAGGTTTGAAGTTCCTAGATCATGACCTTTGGGTCCAATAAGGTCAAACAAGGTCAAATTCCAGGTCGGTCTTCAAAGGGCCCATGGAACCTAGAAAACTGTTCCAAGCAAAAGGTAACATGCTCATATAAGGTCAGCGACCCTGTTTGACCTTTCGAAGGTCATGGTGACCAAAATCATGCAAGACCGCTTTGAGTTTTGCATTCGGATAAGTGGCATGGATTACGCTACGCAGCATGTTCCTAAAAGCAAAATGTTGATCTGGGTCATACTAGGCCAGTGACCTATTCAGACCTTTAAGAAGTTTATGGAAGGTGTATAATGCGGTTCCTGTTATCAATAAATTCGAAATGTGCACCAGAAACTACCCCACACAGTACTCTAGAGTCATAAGACACGTTGGTTTTTACCTTGGTCTGACCTTCATATCTGACCTTAGGTCAGTGCAATTTGTTCATTCAGCTGTTGCGTTGCCTAAGAAAGCGTCTCAGACGTGTATGGTTTCGTCCAACACTCCGTTGCTGGATCATATTGAACTATTTCCTAGAAATTTATTTCGGTTAGACCATGGCCTGACTTGAACCTGCCATAGGTCAGCAACCTTGCCAGGTACATATACATTTTTGATCTCAGACGGTCTGCTATTCAGCTGTCTACAACTACGCAAAATTTGATGTGGCTTTGCCGCGCCGTTCGGGAACTATTCTGGAAAAAAAACATTTGGGAGGGTCAATTTGATCCCCACCCGAGCGCGTGTTAACCCAGACCAACGTGGAAGGTTCCTTAACGATCGAATTGACCCTGCAATTGGCATATAGGGCCGACGCCCAAAAATAGCCCACGGCGTCTTGACAGCGCACTGAGCCTTAAAATCTCCCAACCACTACCCTCTCAATCAGTGAGCAAATATTTGTTATCTGCTCGTGAGCCCTTCAGTTTCGCTTGCGACCGTTCTTGATGTTGGTGTTGATCCTGAAAGTCCAAAGACACCCAATTTTGGTGCGTCTTGTGTTTTAAAACTGCGCCTGTTCGGACGGCTATGGGCGCCTTCGGATCCTATGTGACTCCTTTGGGGCCCAGTGGGGGGGGGGGGGGGGGGGGGGGGGGGAGGGAGGGAGGATTACCCTGTGCCCCCTCTGCTACTGGGTGTCACGAACTTTCGTGTGGGCGGACAGACAGTCTTTTGTAGGGGCCTCCACCGGGCTTAAGGAAATGCTCCACGTTTGAATATATTTAAGCAGGCAGCATATATGATAAGCTCACTTACAACTAGTTGTATATTGGTAAGCTATACTATTGTACTATTGCAATTCTTTGTAAGTGGCAAATGCTTCTCTAAACAATGCGACTTTACTTGATCAAGTCATGGAACGTTTGTATGACAACACCCACTTGTAGCTCTTCAATCTCCCGAGATATGGCAGCACTGGCTCGAAGTGAACGCTGAGCCAAATACGGCT